TTTCTTTTTCTGCTTCAATTTTCTGAAGCACATCACCTCTGAGGAGTTCTCTGCTGTGAAGTCACAGAGGTAAGGAGCCTGTGCCTGCTGCTGCATGGGCTGCAGAGCCAGGGAGCTTGTTAGTGCTGTTCCTTTGGGGAGATGGAAGCCCTGGTGTCCTGGCCCAGTTTTCTTTAATTTATTCTGCACTCTGAAGGCTGCAAAATGGGGCCGAGGCTTGTGAGGTGCCACATTGTGCTCTGGAAAACTGTCCATGCTGAAATGTGCTCTCTGCTTAATGACTGTCCGTGGCTGCTTTAGCACGGATGAGCCCAGAGGTGTGTACTCTGGCTCAAGCAGGCTGTGCGGCAAGCTCCATCAGGCACTGCAGGGGGGAGCGGGGTGGCTGGTTTTTAACAGACTGCTAAACATTAACCCCTTCCTATTTCAGGAGGGGCAGAAAGAAACAAAGCCCACCCTGGAGGCTCTGAATAAGCAGATGTCTGCCTGCAGCCTGTTGCCACCCTCTCAAAGCACAGGGTGTGTGGGCTGGGACTGTTAGGAGAGTCGGATACCATGCGCTGGCCCCATCCCCTCCCCTCTGCCCCTGCACAGCTAACTCCCCACTGCTCTGATCCACTGTGTGCTACAGAGATCTGGCTATGGCCAGCATCCACGCAGCCCTGAAGCGTGGCTGAGGTAACTTTGTCTTTCCTTCCCCAGAAGGAAGAGTTTGCCGCCTGGCTTCACCCTGGAAGAGATCTGCATGCTCAGTGAGTGCTGCTGCCGAGCATCAGCACCCCTGGGTGCTGGTAATGGTTGATCGCTTGGGGGCTTGGGTTCCCAGCATCAAGGTGACTACAAATGGGTATGCTTCCCTCGCGGCCTCGCAAGAGCACAGCCCCAGGGCACATGGGAAGTGTATTGCTTAAAGGGAGAGAAAGTGAGCGAGACCAAGCTGGTCTTCAGGTAGCTCTGTTTTCTTTTCTCTAGAGCAGAGAGACCGAGGCAGCACCACAAGTCTGAGCAGCGACTTCTCCCTGGGGACAGAAAGTTCCCCTGGAGCAGCTGGGAGCTTCACCTATGAAGCAGTGGAGCTGATGCCAGCAGGAGCACAGGCTCAAGCAGCATGGTGAGGACATGACCACTCAGTGGGCTGCAGAACAAAAGGAGCAGGCTCTGAGCACAGTAGAAAAGATATTTCTGAAATTCCTCGCCCTCCAGGTCTGCTCTCTGTGGCATGGGTTCCTTACAGTGGAGGGAGGAATTTGGCTGTCAGAGGCTTTGCTGCAACTTGCACTACAGAACTTCTGTACCAAAAATTGGAGACCACCCCATGTTGAAGACTGTCAGGCTTCTGTGGGGATGCTCCTGAAGTTTGTCCCCTGATGAGAGTAAAGCAGCTTTGTTTCATTTTCACCAGTTTCACTGTTAAACTTCACCCAGAAAGGTTTTCATTACTTTTGAGAGATGGTTCCAAACTACCAGAAAAATTACATTTGGCAGCAGCTTCCCCAGGGAAAAGTGGAGACAGTTTAGTTGCCCTCAAATTGAAGCTTCATCAGTTTATGGAAGAGATTACACAGGGGAGTGTCTGCAGTTAGTGGTAGGTGGGCTGGATGGCCAAGAATCCCCTCTAAACTTTAAGCCTCTCTAGCAGCACGAGGTGTGTGAGCTGAAAGCAGGTTGCTGCCTGCAGTGCTGTTTAGAGATACTTTGGGGGGAGAATATGAAATTCTCAGTGCTCCCTATTGATAGAGGGTCACATAGGACTCTCCTGGGGATGCAGGTAGCTGTCTGGAAGCAGGGACTGGGGAAGGTGTCTGGCAACTCTGCTGCTCTGGGACAGGCATTGTGCTTGCTTGTGGAATTTCTGGTGCTGTTTGGGGATTTCAGAACCTTGCTGTAGGGTTGCCCCTCTCAGTTTAATTTTTGTCTCCTCTCCCTCAGCACATGTGAAGATGCTCTTTTATATTGCAATTATTTTAAATTAAATCTGGGTTGTGCTGGAGGCAGTTAGAAGTCCTCTGGGACTAAGCCTGCAGCCGTGCTAGTGGCAGCAGCCTTTCTAAAGCACATTGTGATTCAATTTATAAAATGCTGAGGAGGGGAAGAGAGAATCTTCCTGCAGAATCACAAAATGGAGATGGGGAGTCCTAAACTGCGTTTGCCAAGTGAGCAGCACAGAGTCCTCTGACACACAGAGCCTGCCTATCCACAAAGTGACTGCAGCAAGTAGAGAACAACTTTCCATTTGCCTGGCTGCAGGGTAGTAAACTGGAAGCAGTTTTTTTTAAATCCTGCAGCACAAAATCTATACATGATTATTGCAAGATGTGAAGTGGCCAGAGCATGCTGGAGGAGATGTGCTGCACTTGTATCAGGGCTTGATTTTGTGACGTGTTTTCTAACTCTGGTTTGCTTTCATTCCTGTTGGAGACATCAGGCTCTGTTGGGGCTAGCTGCTGCTACCACAGGGATGGTTTGGGCCCATGCTGTGGGCATTGAGTTTGGGGAAGGGAAGATTGTGATTCTTGCCACAAGAGCTTAGTGAGGGGAGTGGTCATGGATGTCTTGCTACGGGTTGTTGTGGCTGTTTAGTCTGGAGAACAGGTAGGGCTTGCTACGAGCCGGGCTGTGCATAGCGTGAGTGAGGAGAGGAGGGGATGTGCTTCATTTTGTTGTCCTGAAAACAGGCGGCCTCGAGGTCTCCTTGCAGGGAGAGGCATTTGGTTTTTAGCTGTACAAACCTGTTTCTGCAGGCAGTGCTTGGAGATGTTGGCAGCTATGATAACGTGAGATGAATAATGCTCGAGAGAGGCTGTGGTGTGATGTTTGAGGGTGGACACACTTCAAGAAATGAAGAGAGGATATCGTGCTTTCCACTGTACAATGAGCCTGTCTTTAGCTGCACTTGCTAACAGTGCTCAAGATCTCAGTCAAAGCTGAGATGCCCTTCCAGATTCCAGGAAGAACAGCATCTTTTCTCCTTGAGTGTGTTTGCTTTAGACTTTTCCTTCTTACTTGTGTACCTAGGGAGGTCTTTGTCCAGTTCACTGTGGTTTTCGAAGGAGAAAAATTCTTAGGACTCTTCCAGAAAAAAAACAAACTGATGTAAGAAAGAAAATCCTCTGCACATGGAGCGGCAGTGACGTGAATTAGTCCCAAATATGTGCGTCTGTTTGGCACATAGCTGGATGGTACTGTGAGCTAAGGCCTGCTGCAGCAATGGACAGTGAATCGCTCCGGAGTCTGAATGTGCTGGCTAGAAGAGAAGCCAGAGCAGTTCCTGGTTGTCAGGGGAGGACTGAAGGAGGGAGGACAGGGAGAGGACTGAAGTGCACCTACATCTGGAGTGACTGTCAGCTCTGAGCACATAGTTAGAAGGGTGGTCAGTGGTGCCTGAAGGGAACCACTAAAAGGGAAAATAACACTGGTGCACACGAATGCCCACCTGGGCTGAGCTCCTTGGCTGATACACTCTGTAGAGTTAGAGCAGATTGAAATGGTCTTTCCCTGCTGGGAGGCCCCTTGCTTGAGGCATTTTTACAGCTAGACTAAACAAAGCAATCACTGCATGTGTGGGGGCCGATGCATTCTCCTGTCTCTGATTTCCAGGTCATGTGGATGGTGATCTATAAAAGCATGGGCTAAGATGGGCTGAGCTCAGTGTACCCCTGTCACTGAGTGGTTACCCATGACTCATGGTTCCTTGGGAGGGAGGAAGGCAGGTTCAATGGGAACAAGAGCTTGTAGCTGCTGGGGTAAAATGCAGCCTGTTGTGGAAAGGCTTCCTAGTTGGAGTATGTGGGAAAGTCAGCTTTTTCACCCAAGTCCTCCATCCCACAGGAGGAAGAGCTGTGCATCGTCACCACAAGCCGTGCTCTGGAGCAGGTCACAACAGTCTGAAGACAGGCTGCCTTCTGCAGGGATGGTCGAAGTCAAGTCCTCCAGCTCCTCCTCATCAACCCATTCTGATAACTTCCTGAGGATTGGAAGCAGCCCACTGGAAGTGCCCAGATCCAGGTGAGGTGGGACAGAGTAGAGCATTTCTCAGCAAAATGAGTGTCTGGTAAAGGGAGTGCAGGGCTGCACTTGTGTCGCTCTGAGAACCCTGGAGCACATGTGTTTGCACCTACAAACAAGCCTTAGGAGGCCTGTTCCTCTCCAGCCTGACCTTGTGTGAAATGCTGGCCATTAAACACAGAGACTCCTGCCTCAGCCCATTTAGAGGAGTGAGGAACTGTGCTGATAAGAGCTAGGTGTCTGGTCTGCCTGTTCTCAGCACGTGCCTCAACTCCATGAGCTCTGGCATCTCTACATCCTGCATGCTTGGAGCTCACAGCACTTTCTCTGTCAAATGCATCCACAGGGGTTTGAAATGGCTGTGTTCTGTGGGGGAGGAAGCCTTTCAAACCAAGCAGACCTCATTCTGCATCTGTCCTGTCCCCCTTTCCACCTGCTGACCCTCCTGACACTGCAGGGTGGAAAAACTCTGGGTGCTGGTGGCAAGCAGAGATAGGATCTGCTGGGAGCAAGTTGGGAGCAAGCTGCGAGCGCTGTGCCGGCACAAAGGATTTCACCCGGAAGGCTGTGTGTTCCCGCTGGGCAGCTGGGGAATGGGGACCCTGGACCTGAGCCTAATCTCATGCCATAACAAAGGATATTCTGGCACCCTTCTGGAGCCTGATGCTGTGGTAGGGCAAAGCAGAGCAGTGAGCGAGGCTAGGGAAGAAAGAACAGAGCCTGTGGAGCAAACACCATGTGTTTAGGCCGACAGGGGATAAAGAGGCTCTTAGATAAGAGGTTGCTGTTAACAGCATCAAACGCTTGTGTAGTCTCTGCAGGTTTTCTGATGAGTCTTTTTCTAGTGATTCCCTTCAGAAACAGCCACCAGCCAAATTTTAGTACTCTCTCATCACATGGAAAATAAAATGACAAACAAGTAAAGCATTGAAAATTTATAAGACTTTCTTAGCAAGTGTCTTGATTCTGGAGAAGAATCACTGACAGTTTTCATAAATGATGCGAACTGTTCTCCCTGGGGAAAGAGATCAATAGGATGTTTTTGAGTTGTTGCTGGGGCCCACCTCTATATTCACTATAAGATGAAACAAATCTCCCAAGAAGAGAAGAAAATACAGGAGAGAAAGCAGCTTGTCTTGCGGGCTGCTTTTGTTCATGGCGGTAATGCCACAGTTCCTGTGTGTGGTCTCATGCCATTCCCAAGACTTGAGAGGCTGTTCAGCACTGGGCTGGTAGCGAGCTTGCAGCAATGCTGTGGAAGAAGTCATTTATAACGCTTCAGCCAGACGCTGCTCTGTGAGAGCCAAGAGGAGAAACAGAGTAGGCAGAAGAGCACCACGGGAAGGGGCTGAGCACACAGTCCCTGGGATTTGCATTCCAGGAGCTCAGAGTTGGTAAAGCCAGCAATTATCTTTCCTCTGGCTGTGTCTGGATGAGGCATCTATAAGCTTTAGGATGATTAGTGCCCACTGGTGTCAGGTGTTTAGAACCAGCACCCCCAGGGCTTGAGGGAGCAGGCAAGCATGGTGGGGAAGCTTGTTATTTCCAGGCCAGAGTGCCTGGGGGTGGCTTTTCCCTATACCAAATAAATATCCCTGAGAAGGAGTTACAGTATTCTGTCATTGTGAGAGGTAAATGTTCTATGAATTCCACTATAAACATTTTCCTGACCTTTATGATAGCTTCTATCATGGCCCAAAGTCTCTATAACCCTTCAACGCAGCAAGGTTGCACCAATCCACTCCCAATCCTTCTTAACTTTTGTGAACAAGGCAGTGCAAAGGGCTGGGGTAGAAAAAAGTACATGATGGGGGAATAGGGGATAAAAGGGGAGCAAACCCATTGCACGGCCCGGAACCAAGGGAAGAGGAGAAGAGAATCAGTTGTGAAGCCAAAGCAATGAAATCAGCTGCACGCAAAGATGATTAGCCTGCTACACTCGTGCTGGGTGGAGACTGTACACCTGTATACTCTACATCTTTGGGGTCATCTGGGTTTGCCCTGCTTCTCTCAGTGTGCAGGCTGGAGGAAATAAGCCTAGAGACCCTGCAGGGAGTGGGTGGAATTGTCAAGGCAACGCTGAACAGAGCTTCTCTTTCAAACCAAGTCTTCTGGTGCATTTCATGCTCCTTTGCCTCGTCATCCATTGCCAGATCAGTCAGACTGTGCCCTGCCTGCCTTCCCTGGGGTAACACTGTTAACAGCTCTGCTAGCTAAAGACTTGAGCAATGCATTACCTTGTCAGACGCTGATATGGCTTGCGCTTTTTGGGGCCTGAACATGGTATGTTTTCTCCAGAGAGGGATTATGTCACTCCACTTGGCTTTGGTCTCCCTGATTGGACAATATTAGTCTGAATTTGTCTGGTGAGCTCCACGCAGGTAATGGATATCACAGTACCTTCAGCCACCGTTTTCCATCCTGAAGGAAGAGTCCCATTTTGGGTGGAGAAGGAGTGTATCTGTGATGGAAGGAAGAGGTAAATTCTGTCCCTTCACCCCCTGAAAAATAGTGGGACTAGGATGGAAAGGCTGGAGCACAGAAACTGATCAAGATGCCAAAAATAGCTTTATCTCTACAGTGCTGCCGGCAGGTTAACACCCAAGGCTGTTAAGATGAAGAAACTACCGTACTTGACTTCCTAATCCTCTAGTTGTGTGGCCATAGCAACAAAACACTTAACCACTGCAGCAGCAGTTGAGGAAAAATGGTTGCTTGTAAAATGCCAGCAGGCACCCTTCGGGTAGTTCATGTAAACAGCCCAGTCCATGTGCTGGCAGGCAGGGGAGCTCCGGAGGGAACGGGAAGGCGAGCCGGCAGAGAGCGATGAGCAGGGCCTGGGAGGGGAACTGGGGTGTCCTAAAGGAAGGAGTCACAAATGCCAAGTCAGCCAGTGGGAGCCAAGCCCCTCTCCTGGCCGGGCCATGTCAGTGATCTGCTGCTGCCATCATGTCACCAGCCCATCTTCTGAGTCCTGCTCTGATCCAGAGGTCCCAGGTACCCGTAAATCATGGGATGATTCTTGTTAGGCAAAGCAGTACAAAGGCAAATTCCTAGCAGTCTTTCTAGCTTGTCCCAATGCAATAGTAAGATCACATCTGCTGAGGGCAAACATGCATGAAGATAGTGCATAGGTTATTTGCAGAGTAGGACAAGGTTCTTCTTGTTCTACAAACAGAGCTCTGAGTGTGGCAGGTAGCGTGCGTTGAATCAAACTCCCTGCATGCGAGTGGGTAGCAGCTTGCAAACCATGTCCTGTGTTTGCATTTGACACTAATAGTCTAAGCATCCCATGACACTGCAGAAAAACCCTGTATCTCTGTCAGGGATTTAGCGTGTGTGCACATAGCACTAATGTGGATTAGCAGCTGGATAATCTTTGGTTGAATGTGCTTTTGCTAAGTCAATTAAACAAAACCCAAAGCACTATGATCTGAAGAGTCGAGATCTGCAGGAGTTAAATTGTGGAGGATCTGCTTTGGTCAACAGTCACAGAGAACTGCCTTACTTAAAGGGCTGCAGGCGGTTCAGGTGTGGGTCTGGAGGGAGTGCAGTGAGCGCAGAGAGGGACAGAGAAGCTGCTGTCTGTTGGCTTTGGGTGATTTGTTGGTAGGGATAAGACTGCATGCAGACTGTGTGTCTTACTCCTTACAGCCACCTGGCTTGGAAGCTGTGTCTGCGATGTGACAACTTGGGATAGCGACCACAGCAGGACAGGAATTGTTTACAGGAATGTTTTCTGGAATTATTGCATGACTGTGCCACAAAATGTACTTGCCGGGTGGCACATGACTGTGCTGCAATCAAAAACGGTTGTGCTCGCAGCGGACTGGCTGCTCAGGCTGTTACAGCACTAACACAGCCTGTAGATAGCTGCCTGGGATTCAGCCAGGGCTCTCAGTAGAGCTCTCTGCCAAGTACTCCTTGCCAACATTTCCCACGCAAAGGTGGGAAGGGCCACCCTTTACTCCAGGTTGCCACAGTCTGCCTGTGTGTACGGTACCTACTTAACGCTTCAATTTGAGGCACGAAGCATATGCTGGCAAATGAGCTGCTTCCCAAATAGTCCTAGGTGTGTAGAAATATGACAGGTGAGCGGAGGTGGCACAGGGCAGGATGAGAGCCTAGCTGCTGGGCACTTGGCACTCGTCTCAATTACGTGTTAAGAAATGGAAGGATCCCTGACTGTTGCTCTGCCTCCGGTATTGGCTCTCCTCTGTTAAGCAAGTGTCCGTGTGCTCTGAAATACTCTATCGTGTGCAGCATGTTGCATGGGAAGCACTGACCTAATTAAAAGGAACTGTTCCAGGCTAGGAGCTGCCAGTTTATGGCCTGCTAGAGGTCCTTCCTTGTGTGAAGGAACAGCTTGCAGCTCATCTCTGTTTTGCTAATCTAATTTTGTTAATCTTGCACTTTTGAGGGAGTTTCTTCCCACTCATGGACCTGAAGAGGTGGGTGTGTGAAGCTCACTTTCATTCTCTTTCTGTCTGCCATTAGATGTCTGTGGCAGAGACAGCAACTTGAAGACTTGCTGTATCTCATCTCTCCTAACCGCGTCAGCTTTGCTGTAGTCGTCCGGCTGCTTCCCAAGACCCTTCGCGCTGCCCTCGCAGCTAGCCAGCCTCTGGCATGGCTGTAATGTGTTGCAAACTTGTTGTTCTTACAGGCTTGAGAACTGGTCCTGGTGCTGCCCCAGCCCCAGCTTGCTCTGGGGGCCTCACCAAAACCTTTTTTGGGCCTCTGCAGCAAGACTTTACGAGGAGCCTTCAGGGGTAGAAATAACAGGAAGACTTTCTCCTTTAGCATTGTCTGGATTGCATTGGGATACAGTCATCCTAGAGATCTGGTCTCGGTCTCAAGCCAAGCTCAGCTTTTAAGAAGCTCTGCTGCCCTTGCAATGCGAACGCAAGATTTCCCATGCTATGCCTTCCCACCTGTCTCACCCAGCCTTAGCCCCTGCTGTCTCTCGAGGCTGTTCAAGATGATTGTTGGTTGTGACACTTCCTCAGGAGCCTCCCTTGAGAAGGCACTGGGGATAGAGGGGAAAGTTTGCCATGATATCTTCGCTCTGCTGGCTAGGCTGAGATATCTAAGCCAGGAAAGAGATGACCTGGACTCATTGCAGAGCTTTGAACTCCTAGACTCCTATGCCATTAGGTTAGATGTAACTTGACTAAGTTTGCACAGCTGCTTGACAACATCGGGCACCCCAGGAAGAGTTAGAGAGCTAGAGAGCCACTGAGAGTCAGTCTTGCAGGAGGTACATGACACTTTGATCAACCTGTCCAAGAAAGGAATCAAGAGGTGACTTGATCCGCCTCCAAGAGGTGGTGTAAGATCAGTCTAATCTTAGCTGACAACCATGGAAAGTGACCAGCAGCTGGAAGCTGAGGCCACACATGCAAAGCAGGAAACAATTTTCTGCTCACCTTTTTTTAGCACAGACTCATCTGGCCAGTGTGGTTGATGATACTGGGCAGAGGGACATTTTTACAGTCCCTGGGACCCTGGATTACGTCTTGGTTCCTTTGCTTGCCACATGGGCACAGTCTCCTAGGCAGGCTCCTGATACTACTCTCCCTTTGCAAGAACTGCAGTGCTCTGCTCAGTTCTCTTCACCTTCACCTGGAGATCCTGCCATAGCCCAAGCCCTCCTCTGCCATTCAGAGTCTCCCTGTTTGTTTCTGCCTGGCCCCAAACGTCTATCCTCTGTTCAGCAACTCATTACTTTTCTGGCAGCAATGATGTCCCTGTCTACTTTCAGCCCAAGCCCATTGCCTATAGACCTTCTTACTGCTTTAGCTCCAATTCTTGTCACTGTGTGTGACGCTCCTGTTTTTCCTGTCTGGCTGTGCGGTACTCTCAGGGAGGTGACATCCTCCTCTTCCCTCTGCACTGAAGCAGTGTTCCTCTATGCTTCTCCCTGGCTTCCTGCACTGTTCCCACTGTGCTTCCAGCATGACACTGTGCTCTGGGCCCAAATGCTCTGCCTGCTCTCCTTCATCAAGCTGACTTCCTCGGCTTTATCTTCCAAAGGCAGGGAGACGGGTAGATGTCATTGAACAGCTGCTCCCTTTCCCTTATGAATTCCTTGCATTCCAGGTAAGATTATCCCTGTTTGACCTCCAAAAGGTCTTTCTAAGAGTATATGTTGCAGTTTCATTTCCAATGAAATGCCCTCATTCTGACTACAGTGTTACATGCTCTGGGAAAAACACCTTTTTGCAGGAAGAGGTCCTCCCAATACTTAGCGTTCACAGCACCTCTCTGAACCTCACTGCTCAGTTCATTGAGCAGCCAGAGAGCAAGAGCTAATGCACGGCAGGTGAAGCTCTGCTCTTCCCATTTTCTGCTGTGATGCCTTTCCAGAGCCTGAACTTCCAGACGGTGGTGTTACCCCCAAACTGCAGCTGCGGGAATGTTAGCACTGTGATGGGAAGCTGACGTGCAAGGAGCTATTTGACTTCCCCTTCTCTGCTTGTGCAGCCAGCTCAGGACCGTGTTTCAGACTTCTCAGACTTGACCATATTGATCAGACTAGTTAAATGGCAGGCTTGGAATTAGATCCAGATTGCAAATAGGTTTCTCGCTGTGCATCTCCCCTCACCCTTGCCTTCCGGTCTCACTGAGGTCCTTCTTGCTGTGGGAGTTCCTGTCTTTCTAGCTGTTCTCCTGGTCTCTTGGGGAGCAGCTGCAGTGCGCCACTGCTATTCTTAGCTGGGAAGACAGCGTGCAAGTACCTGGCCCGGCAGAGCTGGAGCTGGTGCACTGCTATCTGCCCAGCAGATCTCAGATAAATTATCCAGAAGATCTCGGTAGTGTGTAATTGAGTAGCTCTGCCACAGGCTGTGCTTCCAGCTACGTATGCTCTGCTGTGCAGCGGGGCACAGTAATTGCTTGCTCCCCAGAAGCCAAGAGCTCTGGGCTCGTCTCAAGTGATTGTGCCCTCTTCTCAGATTTTGGAGGGACTCCTCAGATTCACTTCTCAGATTTCATGCTTCCTTCTTTCCTGGTGGGAGGTTGCAGACATCAAACAGTTATCCTCCTGTGGCTATTTTTCCTATCCTAAAGATATTTTGCCACCTGGTTTCTGGCACAGTCCATTCTTCTAACACAGGAATGAAAAGGTCTTCAGATGCTGCGGGGGTGGGGGTGCCCTGGGGATGTCTTGAGCAGTGACTGGCTCTGTTCAGATCTGGTGTTAATGCCTCAGGAGTGATCTGCTTTCTAACGGCTGCCGGACCAAGGACCTCTGAGTCTTCCTCAGCACTAACCAAGTCACAACCTTGATTCTCCATCAGGCCTTGCCGCTGCCCTAGGATGTGCTAACAGCTACAACAAGCAACACGGTGATGCCCTTTGTATAGCACCGCATCCACATCTGTGAGGGATTTGGGGCAGGACGTGCCGTTGCATCTCGCTAATGGGTTTCACAGTTCTGCATGGCCATCTGCTTCTTGCTGGCTCTGTCCTGTCCAGCTCCTGGTGTGCTCCTGCTGCTTTGTCGGCCCCAGCCAGCTTGGCTCTCCCCTCGCTTTCAAAGGAAAGGCTTGGCCTGGGGCCCAGCCAGAGCTGCATGTTGCACCCTGGTCCCAAGAGTGTCAAAGCTGCTGGCACAGGCGCTGCTGGCAGCCAGCCCAGCGGGTCCCTGGCACCAGCGTTAGTGAAAGGCATGTGGCTGAATGACCTGACTGATCGCGCCGTCTCCCTCTCTCTCTGCCCCAGATCGGCGGACCATTCTCTGCCCGGATCTTCCGTTTCCACAGACTTTGGCAGCTGGCAGATGGTGACAGGGTGTGGCAGTATTCGGGAGCAGGCAATCCTGAGCACAGACGCCTCTCTCCCTTGCAGCTTCCCGGATGAGTTCCCTAGCACTTGCCTGTAAGTGTCTCAAACGTAGGATCTCTCTTTGGGTCTCTCGGCTGGCTGCGAGCGCTGGAACTTTTATCACCCTGGCACTTTTGAAGAAGCCTGGGAGCCCATAACAAGTCTTCCCTGCCTTGATGCTTTTCATCCACAAATTGAGTCACTGAGCACTCTGCTTATGCTGAACTCGGAAAGAAAGCGGCATTTCCTCTGCCTAGTGACGGGGGGGCACTTTGCTTTCTGTACGAAGAAGAGGCTTTTCTCTCTTCCCTGAAGATGCTGAATTTGGGCATAACTGAGTGCATTTGAGGATGCATGCTTGTCAGGGCAGGACTGGTAACCCAGATTTTCTTGCTTTTGGATCTTGCTCATCTCCATCTCCCCGCTGGGTTCAGGTTGTTGCTGCAGTAAGAGAGCGGCTTTTCTTCTGTCAGCCCGATTTTTGTCTGACCACACGTGGCATCATTTGCAGGTGCTGCGTCTGGCCAGTGCAGAGCAGCAGAGACCCTGCATCTTGCCGTGTAAAATGGCTGGGAGGCAAATGTTCCTCCCCAAATAGAAAACCACCTCTGTGGAAGCTTGAAAGACAGGAGATGCACTTTAATTGCTGTTAGAGGAGAACCTTGGCTTGTGCCTTCAGGCTGCAAACTCTCAATCAAGAAACTGAAATGGCAGATCAGGGGCTGCTGCTAACTAGCTGTGCTGGAGCTGTGCTGCCAAACGCTTGCAGTCCGTTACCGAGGTCTGAGTATGTGCTTTGGAGGCAGAGGGCAAGCGACACGAAAACCAACGTCTCCTGTGAGACAGGCTAGCTGCCCTCCTGTGAAACAGGCTCGCCTTCTCATGTGGCTGTGTGCGGTGCTGCTGAGCAGAGCAGGAGCTCCCAAGTTATGATTAAGCTGCAAGACCCATGAATTGGCAGATTGAAGAATTGTGAGGGATGTTGGACATGGCCTGGATGAGATTTGCTCTCCTTTCACAAGGACACACTGTGCTGCTTCTGTAGGATTTTGGAGATCGTTGAAGGAGTAGAAGGGACTGAAGGATGGGTGGCTGAAGTAGCAACTGCTTCCTCAACCTGGCTGTGCTTGGTGGCTACTGATCACCAGCAAGTTGTTGCTGCCCTTCTTGGAGTTGGATCTAATGTCAGAATAGGGAATTCAGTAGAGAGAAATGTGATTTGAAGTTGAGCTCTGCCTGTGCTGAAACCATAGGTTCATGCATTTTGGAGTCCAGCTTGGGACAGCCGGGTTCAAAGGGAGGGGAGCAGTGGTGGTGCTTCTCCCATGGGTGTGCAGCAGATGCTGCAAGTGCTTTGCCCTGTTCAGCTCTTCACTGGAGCTGTGGGGTGCTCAGGACCGCTCGACTGCAGGTGCTGGGAGCAGGCACTGTTTGGAAGGGACGAAGAGTTCCCAGGGATGTTGTGTTGAGCTTGACACAGGGCCTCTACTCTCTCTGCTCTGCATCAGCTGTTTGCTCAGGAGGCCATTGTGGTTTTATCCCAGTTTGTCGCAGCCCAGCACAGTATGAGTTTTTGGAAAATTAAATTCCATTTAAGTTCCCACTTATATCTCAGCTGGCAGCAGCTCGATGAAGGTATGCTTTTCACAGCCTACTTCCTTGTGCTTGTGTGGGGCTTGTCAGGGCTTACTTAGAGCTGGGGCTTTGACAGCCTCCTCTCATCCTGCACCCCAAGCTGCAGGCGAGCGGGCAGGCTGTAGGAAGTGTAGCGGGGCAGAGCGCTGTGGATTTGGCAAGGAAACGTGACCTGCCTCCCTGGTTGAACTGCTCAGAGTGAAATGGTGCAGCCGGTCTGCAGGGCTTGGTGTTGGGCAGTGGCCGGCCGCTTGACCCTGCGCCCTGGAGTGTCTCACTCCATGAAAGAAACCTGAAAATCTAAATACAAAATCTGCCCTGTAAAGAGGCGCGAGAGCCAGAAGACACAGGACCTAACTGCTGCACGCCCTCACTTACCTCTGCATGTGAGATTTAAGATCACTGTACTTGGGTGCAAGTAAGTCCTGCTTTCATGTAGCTTATTTTTAATGCTGGCAGGTTTGTGAGTTCCACGTCCTAATTAGGTTGCCAAAAAGCATCTTTTTAATGTGTTTAGATATGTTGCCTTTTTCTTTTGCCCTCTGGCTTCTCTTTATTATCAGACACTGTAAACAGCGGCCCGGTTGGCTGCCTCGGCATCGCTTGCTGTTTATAGGCCTCCCACCATATCCTCTTGCTGCTGTTTCCGGACCGAAGCTGTTGGCTGTGGGTGGTTAACGCTTCCATTCAAATGAGCTGTGCCAATTTATAGCCAGCCCAGGCGCTGGAGAGATTAAAGAGAATTTTTTATGGGGAAGGTTTGCGCTGTGCCCTTGGAGTGACCTTTGAGGAATGTCTTATTCTCTCTGGGAACCACTGGCACGTCACAGAGGTGCTGCAGCAAGGACCATGTCAGCTTGGAACAGCTGCCTCTGAACCCTAGTCTTGCTTTCCCCTGCTCCCTCGGCTGAAATATTGCCTTCCTTCTGCTCTCTTCCGCCCGCCCCTAACCAGGTGCGTGGATCAGCTGGAGAGGAGAGCAGGTCCCTGGGGAAGCCGTGCCCTACTCTGCACGCAGCCCTCCTGCTTGCAGAGAGCAGCTGTGCTGGGGAGCAGGAGTAAAACGCCGCTCAGCTCTCGTCTTTCCACGTCTGGAGCGCTCCTTGGGGCTTTTGTCACCTTGTCTGCCCCCCTCTCATTCCCCCTTCCCTAAAGCTGTTTGTGCTGGCGCAAGCGCGAGAGGCTGGGGCTGGTAGAAGCGAGGGATGGTCACAAATAGGTTGGAAGCGACTGTCCAGGCACGGCACATGTGGACAGGCTCCATCTGGGAACACTATGCGAGGAGGGGAAGGAGCTGGCGCAGGGGCTGACGTCAGCCAGCACCCGCTTGGCGAAAGCAGCGCTTTCTGTATGAACCGCGGCCTCGTAAGCACTGTAGTGGTGGGAGAAAATGGAGGGGTGGTGAAGGAGGAGACCTAGGCAAGAGCAGGAGGCTGGGGCTGCAAGAGGCTCTATGGGAGAGGGTTGGGTTGGGTTGAGCAAGGAGGCAGTGGCAGCAGCTGCTGTAGCCAGAGCCTTTTGGGGCTGGTGCTGCCTCGGCCACTGGAGCTAGCTGAGCAAAACGTCCCCGTAGTTGCTGAGAACAGATCCCCAGCCCTGCGGCGGGCCTCCGGCCCCACATCAGGAGAGAGCTGGGATGGGGAGAGGGATGGCTGCGGTTGCTGACCTCCCCCTTCTCTCTCCTAGGCTGGTGTCAGCGAGCGACCGTGAGTCACGGCTGGAAGAAGTGCGTTCCGCCTTTCTGGCCAG